CTTTCTTACTTGAAGGTTGTCTTTTGTCTAATCCAAATATAAAAAAAAATCCTAAATCAAGAAGCTTTTTCTAGACAAGCAACAAAAAGTCATGTTTTAAAAAAATAATATGCCAAAATTACGTCAGTTTTTCTTCAAAACAAGCAAAATATACTCACCGGCCACTTTATTAGGTACACCTGTCCAACTGCTCGTTAATGCATATTTCTAATTAGCCAATCACACGGCATTAACTCTATGCATTTAGGCATGGTCAAGACAATCTTCACCCAAAGTCTGCAGAAGAGCATCTCTGAACACACAACGCGTCCAACCTTGAGACAGATGGGCTACAGCAGCAGAAGACCACACTGGGTGCCACTCCTAAGAACAGGATACTGAGGCTACAATTTGCACTGGCTGACTAAAATTGGACAATAGAAGACTGGAAAAACGTTGCCTGGTCTGATGAGTCTCAATTTCTGCTGTGGCATTCAGATGGTAGGGTCAGAATGTGACGTTTAGATGGTAGGGTCAGAATGTGACGTCAACACCATGAAAGCATGGATCCATCCTGCCTTGTATCAACGGTACAGGCTGGTGGTGTAATGGTGTGGAGAGATAATTTCTTGGCACACTTTGGGCCCAACTGAACCAACGCCACAGACTACCTGAGTATTGTTGCTGACCATGTCTATTCCTTTATGACCACAGTTTACCCATCTTCTCATGAAACCCGGGCTCATTGTGGAAACGTAGCCCCGCGGACGTTTCTGCGGACCGCGATTTACGTCCCGGGAGGTACGTATTTGAGCGTTTTTTTGTTTTCGCGGATCCGCGCCCGCGCCGTTCTCGCGCGAAAAGCCGCTAAATCGAAAAAAACAAAAAAAAACCAAAAGCCCTCGTCTTCGATTTCGACCGCGTTTTCGGATCCCGTCGCGTTCTCGCCCTTATTTTCCGGATTCTGTTTTTCATCTTACCTGATTTCCGGAACCCGCTGTTCCCCGGACTCGATCCCGGTCGTCGTCCACCGCGGCCGGTTTCGGCTCCTCCGGGGCCTCCGCTCCGCCGACGCAACGCTGTGAGCTAGGCGGACAAACTGATTGCGTCGGGAAAGCCCTCCACTCGGAGGCGAGCCGTTGGCCGGCGACCGCGAAGAGGAGGGGCGGAGCGGCGCCACACCGCCCCGCAGCGTTCGCTCGAAAAAAACCAAACGCGGCCTTTACGTACCTCCGGCCACGTAAATCGCGGTCTCCAGAAACGTCCGCGGGGCTACGTTTCCAGAATAAGCTTGGGTTGTTCTCATGGCTACTTCCAGCAGGATAATGTCATAAAGCGCGATTCATCTCAGACTGTTTTCTTGAACATGACAATGAGTTCACTGTTCTCAAATGGTCTCCACAGTCACCAGATCTAAATTCAATAGAGCACCTTTGTGGTAAAACAGGAGATTCACATCATAGATGTGAAGACGACAAATCTGCAGCAACTGCTTGATGCTATCATGTCAATATAGAGCAAAATCTTTGAGGAATATTTCCGGTACCTTGTTGAATCTATGCCACGAAGGATTAAGGCAGTTCTGAAGACAGAAAAGGGTCCAACCAAGGTGCACCTAATAAAGTGGCTGGTGAGTGGGGTAAGCAGAATAATCTTGTTTTTTCTTTTGACATAAGATTATTTTGCTTACCCCATTGGCAGATTATTTAGCTTATTTGCTGACATTATTAATACTTCAAACTGCAGACAGCAGTTATACCTTGGTTCAATGTGTTTTAGAAACCCCTTGTAGTATGAACAAACATTGTAACTTAAACATCATAAAATAATACACAGATTCCTTCATGTCTTCTGAAACTCCACCGTGTGCTTTAAACATTTCAGCATCATGTCTGCTGTGCAAAACATGAGCGGAGGATGGATTTTTAAAGCTCTTCTCAAATTCAAGCGCTTGTGTTGATGTCAGACCCTGTGGACTATCCTGTATCAGCATTATTAAGCGTCTGAGCATCTGAAACACTTTTCTGAGATGAGCTCCACGTCCAGCGCATCGATTCCAGACGATCAATATGAATCTGCAGCGACACTGATCAGGAGAGCTGAGAGAGAAAACTGATCTTCAGCCAGAGATCCACAAACACCAGGGAAACTCACAGCCAGAAACCTGACCTACACTTACATACATACTATACGCTGCTAAAAATAAAGATCCCCAAAGAGGGTTTTCACGCTGATGAATTAAAAAAAAAGATCTACAAAGTGTTTTATGCTCTAAAGAGCGCTTTCTATTTTAAAGGACTTTTTTTAAATGGCAAAGCTTTATGGATGTTGAGGAAAAGCATTGCATGTGAACAAGATAAAACAAATGGATCACCATATTCACCATACAGACTGACACATTCAGAATGACAAATATTTATTATTATTATTATTATTATTTTTAAGAGTGTAACAATAAGTGTAGTGTACTTTTACTACATGTTCTGATGTTGCAAATAAAGCGATGGTTATTGGAGGATTTTTTACTTTTTTTTTAAATTTAACATTTAGTTAAATTATTTAACAATTCTTTCTCATAGTTTCAAGTTTGTTCAAGTGCTTTCTCTAAAACCTGCCTTTGCAAGAACATACTCTGTTCTGATTGGTCAGGCAGTCCTGCTCTGCTCTGATTCGACAGGTGGCTCTACTCTGCTTTGATCAGTCAGTTGGCCCTACTCTGCTTCAATGACCCTGCTGTTCTCTGATTGGACAGGTGGCTCTATCCTGCTCTGATTGGTCTGGTGACCCTGCTCCTCTCTGACTGGTCAGGTGGCTCTATCCTGCTCTGATTGGTCTAGTGACCCTGCTCCTCTCTGATTGGTCAGGTGGCTCTATTCTGCTCTGATTGGTCTGGTGACCCTGCTCCTCTCTGATTGGTCAGGTGGCTCTATTCTGTTCTGATTGGTCTAGTGACCCTGCTCCTCTCTGATTGGTCAGGTGGCTCTACTCTGGTCTGATTGGTCAGGTGGCCCTGCTTCTTTCTGGTTGGTCAGGTGACCCTGCTCCTCTATCATTGGTCAGGTGGCCCTGATCCTCTATCATTGGTCAGGTGGCACTGCTCCTCTATGATAGGTCAGGCGGCCCTGCTTCTTTCTGATTGGACAGGTGGTCCTGCTACTCTCTGATTGGTCAAGTAGCTCTGTTCTGGTCTGATTGCTCAGGTAGCTAAGCTATATTCTGATTGGCCAAGTGGCTCTACTTTGCTCTGATTTCCCAGGTGACTGCTACTCTCTAATTGGTCAGGTGGCTCTACTCTGCTTTGATTGGTCAGTTGGCCCTACTCTGCTTCAATGACCCTGCTGTTCTCTAAGTGGTCAGGTGGCATTGCTTCTCTTTGGTTGGTCAGGTGGCCCTGCTCCTGTCTGATTGGTCAGGTGGCTCTACTCTGCTCTGACTGGTCAGGTGGCCCTGCTTCTTTCTGATTGGTCAGGTGGCCCTGCTACTCTCTGAATGGTCAAGTAGCTCTACTCTGGTCTGATTGGTCAGGTGGCTATGCTCTGCTCTGATTGTCCAGGTGACTCTGCTACTCTCTGACTGGTCAGGTGGCCCTGCTCCTCTATGACTGGTCAGGTGGCTCTACTCTGCTCTGATTGGTCAGGTGGCCCTGCTTCTCTCCGATTAGTCAGGTGGCCTTGCGCCTCTATCATTAGTCAGGTGGCTCTACCCTGCTCTGATTGGTCAGGTGGCTCCACTCTGCTCTGATTGGCCAGGTGACTCTGCTACTCTATGATTGATCACGTGGCTCTACTCTGCTCAGTCAGGTGGCTCGACTCTGCTTTGATTGGTCAGGTGGCCCTGCTTCTCTCCGATTAGTCAGGTGGCTCTGCTCCTCTATTATTGGTCAGATGGCTCTACTCTGCTCTGATTGGTCAGGTGGTCCTGCTCCTCTCTGACTGGTCAGGTGGCTTCACTCTGCTCTGATTGGTCAGGTGGCCCTGCTTCTCTCCGATTTGTCAGGTGGCTCTGCTCCTCTATCATTGGTCAGATGGCTCTAATCTGCTCTGATTGGTCAGGTGGCACTGCTCCTCTCTCATTGGTCAGGTGGCTTTACTCTGCTTTGATTTGTGCAGATGGCCCTTCTCCTCTCTAATTGGTCAGATGGCCCTGCTTTTATTTGATTGGACAGGTGGCTTTGCTACTCTCTGATTGGTCGGGTGACTCTACTCTGCTCTGATTTGCCAAGGGCCCTACTCCTCTATGATTGGTCGCATGGCCCTAAGGTCACAAGCCTTGCTCCTCTAAGATTGCTCAATTAGCCCTGCTCCTCTCTGAGTACTCAGGTGGCTCTACTCCGCTCTGATTGGTCAGGTGGCCCTGCTCCTCTAAGATTGGTCAATTGGTCCTGCTACTCTCTGAGTACTCAGGAGGCACTACTCTGCTCTCTTTGGTCAGGTGGCCCTGCTCCTCTCTGATTGGTCAAACGGCCCTGTTCCTCTATGATTTGTCAGGTGGCTCAACTCTGATCTGATTGGTCAGGTGGCCCTGCTCCTCTCACATTGGTCAGGTGGCTTTAGTATGCAACGATTGGTCATGTGGCTCTGCTCCTATCACATCGGTCAGATAACTTTCGTCTGCACTGATTGGTCATGTGGCCCTGCTCCTCTTTTATTGGTCAGCAGGCTCTACTCTGCTCTGATTGGTCAGGTGGCACTGCTCATCTTACATTGGTCAGGTGGCTCTACTATGCTCTGATTCGTCAGGTGGGTCTGCTCCTCTTTCCTTGTTCAGCTGGCTCTACTCTGCACTGATTGGTCAGGTGGCCTTGCTTCTCTTGCATTGGTCAGGCGGCTCTAGTCTGCACTGATTGGTCAGGTGGCCCTGCTCCTCTCACACTGGTCAGTATGCTCTACTCTGCCCTGATTAAATCAAGCGCCTTTTACCACATCTGTGTTTCCTTAGCACCCGTAACTACATATGAACAGTAATAGCTGATATCTGGAAGCAACAACAGAGGCACTTTAAAGTTTGTTCATCAGACTGACCTGAAACAGGGGTCATCGGGGTGGGCGGCAGGCCATTCATGTTCAGCGCCCCCACTTGGTGGATCTGTGTGGCTGGAAACGCAACACTAGGCGCTAAATAACCGCCGTGAGACGCGGCCATGATCGCCGCCTGCTGCTGCATCAGCTGAAAACAACAGAAATAGAGAAAGATCAGGTTAGAAAACAACCTACTGGTACTTAAAAAACCTTAAAATAAAAAGTAATATATATATAAAGAAAACAACCTACAGTACACAGTGCCCTCCAGCAATATTGTACATGTTTAACCTTTTGGTATTTTGCCCAAAATGACAACACAATTGAAGATGCTTGAGTTTGAGATTTGGATGAGAGCAGAAATTTTTTCTTAAAACCCTTTTAGACAGTTTGGGCTCTATTTTGACGGTCCATGCACAGAGGGCAAAACGCAGGGCGCAAACGCTTTCAGGGCGTGTCAGAACGCATTTTTGCTAATTTAAGGACAGGAAAATTCGCTTTGCGCCGTGGCGCATGGTCTAAAAGGTTTGAGTTTATTTTCTTAATGAGTTATAGGTGTGTTTTGAGAATAAACCAATCAGAGTCTCATCTCCCATTCCTTTAAGATCCAGCTGCATCGCGCCATAAGCACATTCGCTATTTACAGGACGCAAAGTAAGTCTAAGTGGAAAAAATTAGCATTTCACAAGCAAACAGTTAACAGTTTTTTTTAACAGAAAACTGTTAAACAGAGCATCTACTGCGTGAGAATGAGAGATAATGGATCACTTTCACTTTCGCTCTTGGATAGGGAAACCTTTACGCACAGACATCAATTAGTCTATAAATAATTAATTGCGTTTGTTAAGCGCAAATATTCATTTCAAAACTATTTCTAAATTCAGTTCTAATTTCCAGCAAACGAATAAATGAACAATAATAATGAAGTGTGTTCAAAAACCTGAGTTATATCCTAAAACACATGCTGTGCCCCATATGGTCTAAAACCTGACAGGTGGGCAAATCTAAGCTTGTTTTAATAAAACAAATATAAATATGGATATAATAAATAATACTTCTAATATTAATAACATTATACAAAAGCAAATTGTTATGAATGAACTGAAAAAGCCTCCTGAGATGAAGAAGGCATAAAAGCAGTGTTTTTTCATATTTATGTAGGCTAGAAAATAATATGTTTTGTAATATTTTAATCCTTTATATTTATATCCTTTATCTAGTCTTATTATATCCAATATATTTCCTTAATATTTAAATTTTTTCATATGTAAAGATATATACCTATTGCTCTCTTGTGCGTATTAAGCAGCGTGTAAGCGAGGCGCAACTCTGCACCGGAGATTAGTGGTCTAATGAAAAATCTATTTTAGTTTCTCAAAATAGCAACGCGCCAGCGGTCCGCCTCAGAACTCCTTCCTTTTTAGACCAAAACGCCTATGGGCGCACATATGAGCACTAATGCATTTGCTATTTAAACTGCGTAGCGCAACGCCTCAAAACCACTCTTGCGCCAAGCTGAAACAACCAAACAAGTATTGCGCCGCGCCTTGCGCCACATTGCGCCGGGTGTATGATAGGGCCCTAAGTGTTGATTTTGGTGTTGTCAGCTTGCAGGTTGAGAGACTCTGACCTAAAGAATAAACTAACTTCTGCAGTTCTCCAGCTGTAAGATTATTTAGCTTCTTAAAAGGATGAAAGGATTCCTAATTTTGTCACATTGTTCAAGTTTTCTTTTCAAAAACTAATTCGCTTCAAATGTAACATAGCGGCAACCTCTCCAAGCCACAGTTTACATGTAGGGGATTCTTTTTTTTTCCAAACAGTAGCAGTAGCTTCTTGGCAGTAGTTAAACAAAATATAAGCAATGTATGTTGTGTATTTGACAACAAATGCGTTTGTTCAGAGAATCTCAGATTCGAAAGCATTGTATCCGGTTGTAATTGCAACTTCAACACCTCGGAAAGCACTTTAAAAATTCCATTGCAACAATTCTGTATCTTCGAACAAAAAATAGCTGAGATAGACCCGCATCTGATGAATTACATTTGTCACAAAGAGGACAAATATTTTAGAGGATTCTATTTAATTTTTTTCTTTGAATAATGTCACCTATGAATTATTTTGATCTGAATAACACAATGTCTAGAATTAATAGAGTGCTTATTAAAGGGCCATGACACCCCCCACGTTCGGTTAAAGTCTACTTCAGAACTTTTTTAAAAGATGCATGATTAATGGGCGTGGAGCTCCGCGAGCATTGGGCAGGAGTGGGCGTGGCCAGCAGGGGAGAACGTGAGCGAACGAAGCTAGCTCACAAAATGAGACAAACCGTGAGGAGACGCATGAGTTTATAGTTTACAAAGTTAAAATGCAAAGAAATGAACAGTGATTTAATGCCCTGCTACATTTGTTATTCGTAATTTCATATACACATAACCACAATTTATATCATTATAAAGATAAGTGTGTTCACGGAAACCAGGGGTCACCAATCTCGGTCCAGGAGGGTCGGTGTCCCTGCAGGTTTTAGCTCTAACTTGCCTCAATACACCTGCCTGGGTGTTTCAAGTATATCTAGTAAGACCTTGATTAGCTTGTTCAGGTGTGTCTGATTAGGGTTGGAGCTAAAATCTGCAGGACACCGTCCCTCCAGGAACAAGTTTGGTTACCCCTGACGTAAACCCTATAAATGAGGACTTCTCCCTCAATCCCCGTATCCAGCAGACTCAGTGCAGCATGTCTCCTTACCTGTCTATTTCAACCATTAGCCCTGCTGGTAATCTGGAGGATTTAGGCAAACAGCAGCACAGTGATGTGTCTAAATGTGAACGAACTCCTGATAAAAGACAGCGTCCGCCATTCTCTAATTCTCGTGCTGCTCTCCGAACAAAAATGCTAGCAGCACACACACAGCTTTGCTGTATGATCGGCCCTGACAAGATCGCGGGGGAAAACATGCAACAAACCCCGTGGATCATGGAAACAAACGCATGTGAGCCTTCATGAACGGCTAAAAACTGTGTGCCCGTGCCGTGGCTCCGTGACGTGTCTCACAGCTCGGGCTTGACTCTGGCAGGTCTCATGAATAATTAAGCAGCCGGCTCTTCTCATAGGATAGGAAAACTCCGCTATGAATAATAATGAGAAACCGACGCGTCATCATTGCACTTGCAGTTCTGCGCTACGTCGCCGATTTTGATCCCGCCCCAAAAATCATTTTAAACCCGGAAGCTGAAATTAGCTGACAAAAGCTCAAAATTATCCAGTTTTCCCCACAATTAAAGCTGACAGGTGCTAACATTGTCTTAACTGATGCTCAACACACACACATCTGTTAATATATATATATATATATATATATATAAAAAAAAAAGTTCTCCAGGGTGTCCTGAACCTTTAATATCCTCCAAACCTGATTGCCACATTTCTCCCAATTCTTTCTCCCACTCTTCCTTAAAACATTTTGTGGAGGGGGAAGTAATGGATTATAGTTCTGAATATAAATTTGAAATATATAGCTATATAAGCAAAATACCCTACAATATGTACAATAAAATGTATTCATGGGAATTTTATTTAAATAAAAGGGACTAAGCCGAAAAGAAAATGAACGAATGAATGATTTATTTTATCTTTGCCATGATGACAGTAAATAATATTTGACTAGATATTTTTCAAGAAACTTCTCTACAGCTTAAAGTGACATTTAAAGGCTTAACTAGGTTAATTTGGTAAACTAGGCAGGTTAGGGTAATTAGGCAAGTTTTTGTATAACGATGGTTTGTTCTGTAGACAATCAAAAATATTTAGCTAACAGGGGCTAATAATTTTGACCTTAAAGTAATGTTTAAAAATGTAAAAAGCTTTCATTTTAGCTGAAATAAAACAAAGGAGACTTTCTCCAGAAAAAATATTATCAGACATACTGTGAACGTTCCCTTGCTTTGTAAAACATTTTTTGGTAAATATTTAAAAAAGAAAAAATTATTCAAAGTGGGGAAAATAATTCTGACTTCAACTGTATAAATAAATAAATAAATATACATTTCAGCAAACCCTACACAATATCTACATACAATAAAGTACAAATATAATAAATGTTTGAATAAATTTGACAGAATTTGAACTGTATTGTATATTATTGCCTTACTTTAGCTCAGTTTAAATGAATTGTAAACAAACTCGCATGGCAAATAAAGGAGAATATCAGCATGATCAATTCATTTACAGCAGTGATGCTTGCAAGTGTGTGTGTGTTTGTGCGTGTGCATGCATCTGTGATTGTATCGAATGTTAATGCATGCTGAATTCTCCAGGTACTAAAGGCAATCATCTCTCCATCATGGCTGAATTACTGCAGTACTGAAGCTGAAAGCCTGACATGTGGAAACAGAGAACGACATGTGTGTGTGTGTGTTTGTGTGTGTGTGTCTGTGTGTGTGTGCGTGTGGGTGTGTGTGTGTGAGTGCGTGCGTGTGTGTGTGTGTGTGTGTGTGTGTGTGTGTGTGTGTTTCTGTACGTTTGTGAGGGAAATGCAGGAGTGTTTTATCAATGGAGAAATGAGAAGTCCGACACTGAAAAAACTGGATTTTTTTTATTTACTTTTTTTATTTAGGGTAAACTACTGATATGGGCTGAATTTAAGCAAATAAATTCATTCATTCATTTTCTTTTCGGCTTAGTCCCTTAATCTGGGGTCGCCACGGAGGAATGAACCGCCAACTTATCCAGCAAGTTTTTACACAGCGGATGCCGTTCCAGCCGCAACCCATCTCTGGGAAACATCCACACACATTCATTGACACACACACACTTATACTCTACGGAAAATTTAGCCTACCCAATTCACCTGTACCGCATGTGTTTGGACTGTGGGGGAAACCGGAGCTCCTGGAGGAAACCCATGCGAACGCAGGGAGAACATGCAAACTCCATATATATATGGACATATATCAGACATATTGACACATTTTATATTTGATATTTCAATTATATTATATTTATATTATATTTATATAATATAAATTATATTTGGACATTAAAATATATTGTATCTTGTTAAAATATATTTTAGTTAAATTATATAATAATTTATAATATTTCTATCATTTTTTTCTATTTAAATGCCAAAATATTTTATACATTTTT